AATAGTCAAACCAGACTTAAAGACACAAAATTAAGACAAATAACTTGCAGAGAGCAAGAAACAGAGGAGCAACATGATGTACGACTTCAGTCTCAAAGAACAAGACAAGCTCAAACATGATCTAATTTCAAGTAAAGCTTTTATTGATTAAATTGCTTTTTTATTTCTCACATCACAGCTTTTGTCTACTTACTTAATTTGCTGAAAAAAATTCTGATCTATATATTTCAAATCTAAGAGATTCATATACATGACTAGCTTGTGTATCTACATTCAACTCCTGCTGAAGTGGAGATTTTTCATAACGCATGGAATACGTGACAAGAAAACTGCAGTTTAAGTTGTTTTTTATGTTTCTTTTGAAACACAGGAATTAAGATTCAGATAACATAAAAATTCAAATTATAACATAGATTATAATGTTAAATTTGTTGACATACATGGATAGTAAGGTTGTTTAACACTTTCACAACAGATGCTCCTTTAAACGCTTTTCAATGCAAGTCACTGTGTTACATTCAAAATTTAATTAAACCTTTACTATCACTGTATGTGAATGTATGTTTTATGTTATCTAAGTTTTAAGTCCTTTTTTTCAAAAGAGATCTTTAAAATAAACTACTTAAAACTGCAGATGTATTGTCATGTGACCAACGAGCTATGAAAATTCTCTGTTTTGGCACTCTGTATCTTCAATAATACAATGGTAGTTGCATAGATGTACGTCTAGACTCTAAGATGCTTACATAACCTTTTGACTCATACATTTCAAAGATATCTCAATGAATACAACTGAAACAAGTAATAAATTTTTCAACCACTGTCAGGTGACACACCCACCTTCAACAGATTTGTTTGATCTTTGCAGCTTACATGTAGATGTTACATACACATGTGTATAGTCATTATAAAAGAGTTCATTTTACACAATGGTTACCTTGAAGTTGGCACACAGTTGTCTTGGAGTGCATATAACTGACTGTAGTATTGTTATCTGATTGATCAACTATAGCACTTACAGTTGTTTCTTACCATAGGTTCTTGTTATAGTAAGAGATACAGTTTAAATTGTATTTAGCTCTTACTTTCATATTTTAATTAATTATATATTAGTTATGTTTTAAAATGCATAACTGAAAGGTTAAACATTTTCTTAATATACATCATACTTTTCATCAGTTCTCAAGGCTTCCAAAATTGCATGGTGCACGAGAATTTTGCTGAAGTGTTGCGCATGTCTGCTAAAAACACTGTAATATGCCTCGAGGGCACTGTTGACTTGGTTCAAGATGAATAATAAGTGATAAATAACAAGAAAGGAAAATAAAACATTAAAAATTAAATATATGTGAAAAGGAAAGCCCTGAAATTACAAATTTAACAAAAGGAAAATCTTAAAAGCAATGTATTTATTTTTCTGTTTCCTAATTTTAATTATTTCTTTGCACTGTACATTGATGATAATTGCTAGAGTTCGTGATATTGTAAAGAAAATGAAAAAGAAAACAAACTTTTACCTTATAAAGCTTTTTATTTTCTTTTAGAAGGATCTAGAGATCACACAAATGAAATATGAAAACTATCAGATAAAAAAAAATTTTTTATACTTAAAATAAAAATCAACTTGCACAAGATTTGCTAAGTTTGAGTGCAAGTAACTACAATAAATAAATAATACATTTTTAGTAAAAACAATTATAATAATGTCATTCTTTGTGTACAAGATACTTATGATCTTTAATAATATCTTACCAGTTTTTGAGAGAATATGTTAAAAAAATCTCAGTTACTGTATGTATTGTTGTACAAGTTAAATTCGCAACTTAATTTCTGCATATTACATAAGCCCGACATGAATGGATTAATTAAATTTTGAATGTAATCCAGTAACTCACATAAAAATGAATTTAAAACTGGCATTGTTCTGATAGGATTAAAAACTGTAGCAGCTTAATTAAGAACCCAAATAATTCATGATTATATGTGCTTATATCTGACACTATTCTTCTCATACGACATTCATCATTATGAACCTTGGGAGCTCCATACATAATCCGTGTATGGGAACCAACTGGTCTTAAAGTTTAATATTAATTACTTGTCGACAAGTTGTCCTTCTTTAATTTTGACAAATAACTTTCTCTCTATATATTTGTTTGCACAATTACTGTAAACCCTTTTCATAATTTAATACATAATCGTTATACTTAAGGGTTTTTTTGATGGGATAACAAAGATTAGACTATAGGCCAAAATCCTTTTTTTGATATCATTTACTTCATAATTGGAAAAATCATAAATTACTTTATTTGGATGATTTATAAATATTTCTTTGTTGTATTTTCTTAACATGTTTTATTTCCTCTAAACCATTATTCCTAGATTTTATTAAATCTTTATTATTTTGTATAGTTATCCAATTAGTAAGATGATTATAATCTATTTGAATTACCTGCTTTTCTAACAATAACAAGCTTTCTTGAAATTATCTTTGAATCACTTAGTTTTAATGTTTTGTTTTATTTCAAAATTTTATTATTTTCTCTTAAGTTATGCATACTCTCTTAAACCCTAAGATTATGGAATAGGTACTTTAAAAATTAAGACATTTGGGTATAATATTATCCCTTTTACATTGTTCCCAAACATTTAGACCTTACTTATTTTGTACATTAACTTTGTAACTTTTCAGTTTTCCTAAACATTGACAAAGCAGAACAATTATACATATTGATAATTATGTTTCTCGTTTCTTGAAATTCTAAGACCTACATTTTGTTATGTTGACTACTAACCAGCCAAAAAAATGTATGAATGAGACCTCCTCCCAATGTTGTAATTTAGAAATTGTAATTCTGAAGTAGGAGCAAGGGACAATTAGAATTAGAAATTATGATTTTTAATTATTACAGTGTTTGAACCCATATCATTGGGCCATCATCAGATAACACTGTAATCATTAAAATCATAATTTCCCTATTGTAAAAGTCGCTGTTATTTTCTTTTTGAACCAAAGTGTTCATTTTAATTATGATATTTTCAAATCTTTAGTACACAGATATGTCAGTGATGTAACATACCCAGAGAATTACATGTTTCTTCTATGGCTACTGACTTGGAAACATTTATTAATACACTAAGATCTGAAAGATGAAAATAACTTATTTACTGGAAATAGCCTATTTCTAACTAGTGATTTGTTAAAGAGCTTTTACTTTTAGCCTGTATTAAAATGATCCTCCATGACATAGTTTTAAGAAGACAAGACGAAGCCTTGTCCAGAGCCCTTATACTCTGTTTAACCCTATCACCTCGAGTACCCTTTACTGCACATGACATAAGGTTTTAGTCTTACATTCAAATTTTTTTAAAACTACTTTCTTTTTATGTTATACCAATTAGATTAGCATAAAGTCTTAACTAATAATCCATATTTTAATAGTATACAAGTTTTAAGTTCTTAATTCTACAAAGCAATATTAAAAAAAAATCCTGATTTTCCACTAGTGTGACCCACGTGATACATTTTGTCTTAACATGTCATCATCCCTATTTTATCCACCGCCCCCCCAAAAAAGTATGAAATTAAACATAAAACCGTTATTGCTCAAACAAACTATAATTTTAATAGCCTTCAATTTTGTTTTGTTACAGAGCTTATCGAATAGAAAGTCAGACCCCTCCTGTCATATCCTCTCTTTCACAATTCACTGATAGTTCTCTCTCATGTTTTATTATATATTACCTATAAGGAATAGAAATTCAAGGTTTTCATCCATCAAATGATGTACTGTATAAGGTTGTATTCTGAACATAATATCATCAATTTCACTCACAGTACAAGAATCGTTCCTGTGGGAAAGTTAACGATTAGCTTGGATGAATTTGTAATGGCTCCTGTCACGTAGTTAGAAAGTCAG